TTAAAATCTTTTAAATTTGTAATGTAAATGTCATATTTTGTTTATATGCAGTACCTAAGTGGAAATGCATTTAAAGAACACAGAAAGTATATTTACACTAAATCATTAATCGGACCACCTATGGTTAGAACTCAACAACTGTTAAAGCCCCGTTCCCTCGGACACAAGCACACACAATCATGCACACTCAGTGAAGAAAAAGATAGAATGAAGACAAAAGTGTTATGTTTTGATGTCGTTCACATTCCAAATTAAGCAATGCATTTCTAATAGCTTTACGCATATAGATAGTTAATATTTATATTTTCATGATAATTTTATGTTAAATGAGTGTTTCATGTTACACTATAAGTCGTTGGAATTAGTCAGTGCTGTCATTGTTAAAAGAAGTTATATTTCTTTGAGCATATCTGGCTGGATACTATTATTATCTGTAAATATGATAACAGAAATAAACTTCATCAAGTTCACGCCATTCTTCCACAGAGGAGTCATCAGTGTCAGACGAATGACAACTGGATTAACTGTTTGCTCCTTCAAAGCCATCTTTGATCCAGTACTCTTTCTCCACCTTCTTGACATGTTCAACACATGCATGCCAGCGTGCAATGTCAATGTCACATGTACCAGTGTTGACAATGTGCTTGACATCATTCAACTTGAATGATTGATTTTTCCGGGCCACTGTACTTTTAAGGTCTCCCCAGATAAGTTCGATTGGGTTGGGATCACAGTGGTACGGCGGTAATCTCAAGACCTTATGGCCGTGTTGGCGTAGCATGTTGTCAATGTTATATGTGGGTGGAGGTTTGTTAGGTTTAATCAAAGAGTACAACTGTGGTTTAGTGGCCTTAATTGAAAATTGTATATTGTTATCTGTTAGCCATTGCTGCATATCTGACTTCTTTGTATTGGAAATTGGGCACCTATTGTTTGGATCTCGAACACTGTGATAGGGAGCATTGTCCATGACAACAAGACTTTTGTAAGGCAGAGCTGGCAACAATTGTTCTTCAACATACTGTGTGAAAACCGTTGAGATCATTTCTGCATGATAGTCCCTACAATCTGTGCTCTTTGACCGAAATACCAGATCACACGCAGGTAGGAATCTACGGTTGGAACCAGCATGAAGAACGATTAAACGTTCACCTTTGCCTGTTGGTATTTTCCTACCATCACTGGGATCAGTGGGTAGCCACTGTCTGGCAGCAGTATGGTTTGCATTGACCCAGGTCTCATCCAGATATATAGGTTCGAACCCATCCTCTCTTGCCTGCTTAATTTCTCTCAGATAGTTACACCTTATTTTCACAATATCAGATCTCTCACACATTACAAGTTTCTGGTTTGCTACCTTCTTGTACTTGTATCCAAATTTGAGCAGTAGTTTGCTTAGCATAAACCTAGAAACATTAATGTCGTGATCCTCTGCAAGGATGTGTTTTAACTTTCTTGTGGACAGGTGTTCATTTCTAGCAAATAGCCGGCGAATGACATCTCTGATGACCCTGATGTCAAAAGAATCTAACTTTGGATGCCTACCTTTTTGTACAAGGTTTTGTTTATTGGTTGTTGGTTTATTTTTCACAATTTTTAGCACGATGTTCTTTTCATGCCAAGAGCAAAAGTTGTACGTTTCATGTAATCCGACACCTTATAAATCGGTTTGCTACGTTTTCTCTCTTTAAAAAAATTAAACATATTTCTAATTAAACGTTTAGCATCATCTGAATAAGCTTTCATGATGACAGCTAGAAGTAGTCAATGTGAATGATCCAAACGGTCTATCACTGTGCAGTGCACAGGTAACTATCATGAACTGCACGTGCATTTACCTTTATGACCCAACACTGCCGCTGTTACAGGTCATTGGCTCTCTCCCTCTGCAAGCCGTCTGCGTTCTGCTGTTTATTTTGTTGACAGTTACATAGACAGATTCTTTAATACAAATGCATAAAATCGGTGATTTACAATGTGATTAGGTTGTCTGACAAAACATCCATGGCCACTTGCACAGTTTGAGATCGATTTGATCATTGGATGAAGAGATATTTACAAAAAACCTGGTCCACATGCATTTCATGCCAAACTATAAGTAAAAATCCCAGTTGCGTTGACCACTGGATTATCTGGTCCAGACTCAGTTATTTACAGACGGCCGCTATATAGCTGGCCCATGGAATATTGCTGAGTCCGTCGTTAAACAACAAACAAACTCTAAGTGTGAAGAAAAACAGTCAGATTAGCGTACAGATCCTTTGAGGATGTGGTGTAGCGTTTATGATAAAAGGGAGGTAACTCTAGGAAGTCAAACGCATGTAAAATAACATTAGAATCATAAAATCCTTCACTTGCTCTTCTATTCGAATAGGGTGTAACGTCTTCAAGTTTGTAGCACTTATGAAGGGACGATCAAGTGTGTGCGTGTACATGCGAGTTATGGCTGATACTGTACTTGAACGGCTTATGTCGATATTCTAGTGCTAGCCAACTGAGATACCATGCGCTGTTTTAACATGGGTACCGCACACAGTGACGACCAGGTGAATTACAACGGTACAAAACTATGTGATTGTAACCAGTTGCCTTAGTCCGGTATTATCACCGGTGAATTACAACGGGTACAAAACTATGTGATTGTAACCAGTTGCCTTAGTCCGGTATTATCACCGGTGAATTACAACGGTACAAAACTATGTGATTGTAACCAGTTGCCTTAGTCCCGTATCATCACAGGTGAATTACAACGGTACAAAACTATGTGATTGTAACCAGTTGTCTTAGTCCCGTAACATCACAGGTGAATTACAACGGTACAAAGCTATGTGATTGTAACCAGTTGCCTTAGTCCCGTATTATCACAGGTGAATTACAACGGTACAAAACTATGTGATTGTAACCAGTTGCCTTAGTCCCGTATTATCACCGGTGAATTACAACGGTACAAAACTATGTGATTGTAACCAGTTGCCTTAGTCCCGTATTATCACCGGTGAATTACAACGGTACAAAACTATGTGATTGTAACCAGTTGCCTCAGTCCCGTATTATCACAGGTGAATTACAACGGTACAAAACTATGTGATTGTAACCAGTTGCCTTAGTCCCGTACCATCACAGGTGAATTACAACGGTACAAAACTATGTGATTGTAACCAGTTGCCTCAGTCCCGTATTATCACAGGTGAATTACAACGGTACAAAACTATGTGATTGTAACCAGTTGCCTTAGTCCCGTACCATCACAGGTGAATTACAACGGTACAAAACTATGTGATTGTAACCAGTTGCCTCAGTCCCGTATTATCACAGGTGAATTACAAGAGTACAAAACTATGTGATTGTAGTCAGTGGCCTTAGTCCCGTATTATCACAGGTGAATTACAACGGTAAAAACTATGTGATTGTAACCAGTTGTCTTAGTCCCGTAACATCACAGGTGAATTACAACAGTACAAAGCTATGTGATTGTAACAAGTTGCCTTAGTCCCGTATTATCACAGGTGAATTACAACGGTACAAAACTATGTGATTGTAGCCAGTTGCCTTAGTCCCGTATTATCACAGGTGAATTACAACGGTACAAAACTATGTGATTGTAACCAGTTGCCTTAGTCCCGTGTTATCACAGGTGAATTACAACGGGTACAAAACTATGTGATTGTAACCAGTTGCCTTAGTCCCGTATTATCACAGGTGAATTACAACGGGTACAAAACTATGTGATTGTAACCAGTTGCCTTAGTCCCGTATTATCACAGGTGAATTACAACGGTACAAAACTATGTGATTGTAACCAGTTGCCTTAGTCCCGTATTATCACAGGTGAATTACAACGGTACAAAACTATGTGATTGTAACCAGTTGCCTTAGTCCCGTATTATCACAGGTGAATTACAACGGTACAAAACTATGTGATTGTGGTTGACACTGTGTATACACTGAGTGCCATTCAGTATATTTATTTCAGTCGTCTATGATGTCTTGTATCGTCTTATGAACGCACGCAGAACCGTTCTGTAGGTCACCAACACCAGCGGAATGTTGTCTAACACGTCAGGGCTGATCCAGGATTTTCTTCTCTTTGATGCGTTTGTTTTTAATTTAGGAAACGGAGCGTATATATGATACACTGTTATATGTTGGGTTTTGAGAGTTTGATACTTGATGTAAGTATATCAGTCTTCAACGCAAACAGATATTGATGTGGGTGTAAGGGAGGTGATTCATTTAAAGTTCACTTCTTTGAAGCGCGTGTAAAATAACATAATCCACTGCGCTTCAATCACTTCACAAACACGACCGAGATCAACTGTCAGTTTGTGAGTGAGTGTGAGATCAGCTGTGAGTTTGTGAGTGATCGCTGTAATATAACTGTCATATTGCTGACTACATGCTGTGACATAGCTGCCATATTGCTGACTACAGGTTGTGAGATGTCTGTCGTATTGCTGACTACAGGTTGTGAGATGGCCATATAGTCATATTGCTGACTACAGGTTGTGAGATGGCTGCCATATTGCTGACTACAGGTTGTGAGATGGCTGCCATATTGCTGACTACAGGTTGTGAGATGGCTGCCATATTGCTGACTACAGGTTGTGAGATGGCTGCCATATTGCTGACTACAGGTTGTGAGATGGCTGCCATATTGCTGACTACAGGTTGTGAGATGGCTGCCATATTGCTGACTACAGGTTGTGAGATGGCAGTCATATTTACACACTGTAGGTTGCAGCCCTACAAATTGAATATTGTTCAAACAGGTTGCTGTGAGGTAGGGACTAATAACATACCTCAGGTTGTATAAATGTATGTATGCATGCATGCATGGTGTGTGCATGTGCATGTTTATGGGCCTGCACGTGCATAATATTGTGGGCTCGCGTGGGCTCCGTATCCGTATCTTCACATAAACAGAACAAGTTCACAACATACGAAAGAAAATTTTCTCATAAACCACAAGAAAATCTTCTAAATCAAAACCAAGGCAGGACTAAAGATTCAACCATTTTTATTTCAGAAAAAAATTGTGCACAAAACACGAGCCACAGACGACAAGTAGGCACAGGCCTGTAATGTGCCGGCTGGGCAGTCAGACATACATGGGTTACGATGGACAAGATGTGTACATGTCAGTGGCCGATATCACCATAGGGAGGGGAGGTAGAGGGGAGGGGTACAACATCAGCTGATGTGTAGAGCCAGATGCTAGCTACATGTAAGTGTTATACCTATTGCTAAACATACACGAAAACATATTAAGTCAGCTTGGTCTTTGGCACTTGTCAATATTGTTCAAAGATAATAGTTTACCCTAGTTGCTAGATTATATTAAACAACGACAGGCGACTGGGGAGCTGTGATTAGTCAGGACTAGTGCAACGTCCTCTACAACACCATCGCCACTGCAGAGTCGCTGTTGACAACGTAGTCCTGGCCGACCACATCCACCTAACCGTGTCTCACACAGGCTGGAGAATCTAGAGGTGATTAAAGCCTACCAACTGAATGTCTACGTCGATCAACAGTCATCAGTGTTCCACACTCACACCCAGCTCCAAAATACCATTCAGTAATTTAACAATATATACTACATTCTTGATGAACTAACAGCACTGTCAAATCTTCAATTTCATTAACGCTACACATCATTTGCAAAGAGCCATATCTTTGACTAAAGACGACTACTTTGGTCCTTAGCAAATGTTGAGAGGCGTATTTCCCAATTCAATTTGTTCAGAGGATTACTTTCTTCAGTTTTATAATTGTTTCAATCATACTCTTAGTTGGGTTTTATTTTTTTCATTTCCTGTTACATCTCAAAGATCTTGTCACCTTGGAAACCATCCATATTCAAAGTGAGATATTATGCCCGTCAGTACTGCTGGCTGGGCTCTGGATGTGCGTGTAGGGACTGAAGAGTTCACCGACAATATCTACAACAAGTTCCGACCAGGCCCCGTGCCCGACATGTCATGTCAGTACACAAAGGTCAAGGTCGGTCAAATCACATAAACAGAGCACATGTCTACGGGTGACCTTGACCTACTGACGGATGCAGTGCCAGGTGGCGCTGTGGTATCACAACTGTAACGTCCACTGATACCCACCAATTATTGCTATTATCAAGATTATAACAAATTTTATTGCATGATTGTGAAGACTTCATACATTGTGCAAGATAACAATTTAAAATCTAAAATGCTAAAACTTGTTTGACCCGTTTCGTGAGCAGCTGTCTCTGGTCCCTTCAATAGCACTGAGTTGATTGCGTAGTACATTCAAAATATTTACATCCAATCATTTGATAAACTTGTATATTTCACACAAAAAATTGCTACAATCGCCCCAGTCATGACTGCACTGGCAACAAGTTCAACTAATCACTCGTAAGCTAATCGATGGTTTAATGCTTACACCGCAAAACAGGTCCTGTTCAAGGCAACAACCCCAGATCAATCAAGCCTTACTCCTAGGTAACTGTTATAAAGGGAGATAACTGTGACACCACAAAGGAGACAACTCAGTACATACTATACTATTGTGTAGTTTCTAACTAGTGGACTGGGACATTTCCCTTGTTGCAATCAAGTTGTGGGTTTTACATGCTCAAGTTAGTTGGTGTATCGAGAACAATGTCTTATTTACAAATAATGTGAATGAGTCAAGAGGTAGATAGCACAGCTTAGTTGTTGCCCTCAACAGGAGATCGTGTGGTTTAATCGTTGGTGGTTTGGGATACACTGAATAGTTGCTCCAATCTAAACAAGAGCAGTAGCAACAAGGTGGAAATAAAATCATAAATGTTCTTTGTCAAATGTTTTCCCCGACAAAACAAGATACCCTGTAGGGAAGATAACAGGGTTGTATTAGCTGCAGAGACATGTACTCTGTCTAAAACAGGAACTTAACAATAACAGTATGAAACACCTCTATACAGACTCACTCTTTAGTTCTGTACACACGAAGCACTGTAAGAAGTCATCGAGACATCCTATGTATACACGCGATCCAGGTCGCAGTCATGTGACCTTGACCTCTCCCTAGAGCTAGCCTACAGATCAGCGATGTCAGATCACACGAAGTTTGATCAGGGGAGACAACTGAGATTCCATACCCCTCATGTCAGAGATGGTGTATATGTTCTACAAATCCTAGTGATGCACTCCATACAAGACTGCAACTGGTAACTACCTGAGGGCAACTTTTCCATTTGTGCAGTGACTATGTACACTTTCCGTGACAACTAATCAGTCAATTTCAAAAGTGACACGTCTGCTCAATTAAATATGCTCCATGCCTTTCCGTGATCGAAAGTGTCGTTTAATCCTCTCAAAGACATCATGTTAATCAATACAAAGGTGCATCTTTGGATGTAACTTGCCACTGAAATGCATCACTCGCAGGCTTTGGTTTCAAAAGTTAAAATGTCCAATTCCTACCTAGTAACTAGCTACGTATCAACTTGGGACGGATGACTTATGGCAGTCTCTAGGGAACTGCTGCTACACATGTATAGCTATGTTCAGATCTGTAAGTACAACTTGTTATAACTAACACCGTACCTAATTCAACTTTGGAAAACTGATATGTCATGTAATGGGTCTGTAGAATTAAATACAAAATAATTACATCCTTTCAATAAAATATCTCTCAATAGTCAATAAGGAATAATTTAGAATGATCCAAGAGAAACTATTGCATGTTCTAGTTCATGAACAATAAGGATATCATCTCTACTATCGTCTACTCTACTCGGATCAAAATGTACAGATCAATTTTGGTCTATGTTTAACCCGTGGCCATGATAGTGCTCAGAGCAGCTACTTGTCTTTCTAGCTCGTACACACAGAAAGCGGCAGATTACTGGTGACGTGAAACTGTCTAATCTGCTAAAATGGCTAGCTTTTCTTCTTTCAATGATCAACATATGTACACCCGGATATTCCACCCAAAAAAGCTTAAATAATTATCTAAATTTAAAATCTCAAAAGGTATAGAAATTTCGATGTATCTGATGAAACATGGCTGAATGACCAATGTCATGGCGAAGCTAATTAAAACTTTGTGCCAATAATTTAAATATATTTGCTAATACAATGCCAGGGAGTACGATGTCTACAAATGTACATGCCAATAAAGAATGAGGTCATCAGATGACCTTCAGCATAACCTTGACCTTCAGTGACGGCATGACCTGACTGCGCTGATCTTCAACCGAAGCTAACGAGCCTCTCTAACGACTAACGACTATTGAACTACAGATCCTGAGGAATGTGGCCGTCGTCATGGTAACCTCGGCACAGGTCCAAATTGAAAAGACTGGACCGCTCTGTCCATGGCATTTAAATATACGAAAAATAACAACCAAGAGATGACAATCAGGGGTGCTGCCGAAGTTTCGGTAAAAACAGTAAAAATCAGTATTTACAAATTAAACATAGACTAACCAGATAAAATACTTGTAACAAACGCCTCCATCTTCAACTCTCCTTAACAATGGAGTAGGAAGGACGCTCCACACATACATCCTGTTACAACCACATCGCAATGAATATGATGCCATTTGGAAGATGGCAGTCGGACGGCAGCCATCTTGTAGGTGCTAACATTGCTTATCTAGTGAGGGGATCTAGCTAAGTAGTGACCTCTTACTTCAACGTCTACTAGTTCAACTTGTTCGTTGCGTAGTTTTTGTACATTTATAGAGACTTTTTGAATCGTGGGAGAGATCATAGAGCTACAAACTACATGGGTTTATTTACACACACAATAGTGCAAAAACAGTGAAAACCACATCAAAACCTACACTACCGTTGACACAACATCCAGGTCTGTACACAGGTAACCAACTAGTAGGTGTTATATAAGTAGAAGCAATAATTACACACATACAGTAGTCCCTGACGTTCACGTCGCTGCAGCAGCGGGAGCAGCGGTGCACGACGTAGTCCAGCTGACTGGGATCAGTCACATGACCGCTGTCGTCGTGAGGGGAGGGGGATGAATACCCTGTACACCTTTTTCCTGCCCTACCATTCCTTTAAACCATCCCATGATAGCATGCAACACCTGTATCCATATGCCATACAATTACTGTCATCAGGTTACACCAATCATCTGGTACCACCTTCGTAAGGTAACACCAATCATCTGGTACCACCTTCGTAAGGTAACACCAATCATCTGGTACCACCTTCGTAAGGTATCATCTGGTAACACCTTCGTAAGGTAACACCAATCATCTGGTAACAACTTCGTAAGGTAACACCTATCATCTGGTAACACCTTTGTAAGGTAACACCTATCATCTGGTAACACCTTCGTAAGGTAACACCTATCATCTGGTAACACCTATCATCTGGTAACCTGGTAACACCTATCACCTGGTAACACCTTCGTAAGGTGACATGCAATAGGTGGCACAGCATCTGTCCTCAACTAATGACCTTACCCAGGTTGCATACAATCACATGTAATCTTGTAAATGATCAAATCCACTCATTAAACTCAGCTTTAGCTCTAAATTAAGTAAACTGATTCCACATCTGTTGGAACTGTCCAGTCCTGAGGACTGTCAAGTCCAAGACTGAGGGCTGCAGATGCTGGGGATGTCACTGGTTTGAGGACAGGGAGCTTTTTGTCAGGAATGGTAGTCGGAGATAGAATGCAGTTTCGAGACACGACTTCCTCCAGTGGGGCGAAAACAACATAGGGAGACTTTAGGTAGTTAAGTAAAATGTCCTTCCATAAAAATAAACTCTGGCAATAATTGAAAAATAAACATTGTTAAAAATGGTAACAGGAAAAAAAGTAGAGAAATAATTGATCTTCGATTGTTCGGAACTTCAAGCGATGGAAGATGAAAACACAGGTTTTGGACAAGTGGTTGAAAAACATTTCATAAATATTTCGACTTCATTCGCAGTTGTGAAATGTCACGGCATAAAAATAAAACGTCTCGTAATGAATTTATATGGTGGGATTTCTAAAAAAATAAATTGTTAAACGAAAAAGCAAAAAATAGCTACATTGTAAACAGTCATAATGCAAAATAGCGATTGAGGAAGATAAATCTATGAAGTGTAAAATTGAACTGAGACGACGCCATCAAGGTTGAGAATCACACAATATGTCCATGTTTGTAAACAACCATTAAAACAACTGCTAAAATAGTATAAGTATGGACCTGCCAATTTGAGTAAAATTCGAATATTATACATGCCAAATTATAATATACACTGCATAAACAAGGGCGACGCCCACCAACATGAAGTAACAGTTTCATCATAACAACTTTATACAATTGTATTGCTATCAGTGTAAATTTGTCAAAAATGTAGCTTACTAATTAAAAACATCTAAATAATGTTTGAGGTGAAAATTCTTCCTTCCTACTCTACAATCTAACTGTGCAAGCCCGAAGGCTTAATGCAGGGGTCGTTAATACCTAGTCAACAGTAACCTTCATAAGGAAGTACTCGCTGTGGAGTCTGGCAACAGCCAATCTAAATCGACCGACGGTGCCATCTCGCGAAAAACAAGCCAGCTAATGCTAAAAATAAATACATTAACATTTCTTTTAAAAATCCATGAAAATATAAGATCTTGGTTTTAATGTCATGAACACAATAAAAATTGGTATAAAAAACAAAATAAACAAATGTTAACTGGTAATCTACATCAGCATATGTATGTACGAGCTCAGATCACGAGCCACGTCAGCGTATGAATGACGGAGCTCGGCAATATGTCTACAATGTCTACAGCTAACTACATCTACACAACATTTATAACATGGACGTCAGACAAGTTAAAAACAAGTCAAAATTAGAAAATAAACCAATAAGAGGACCCCAAAATGGGTATTTCACAATGAAAACCAGAGGCAACATCATTAACCTTACGCAAAAATATTTACAATACCACTTATGACAATGAACAATACGTATGACATGAATAGTATAGGATGACCTCAAAGTCAAGTCGTCATAGTGACGAGAGTTGCATCAGGCCTTGGCAACAGTGTCTTGGTCGGAGCGACATCGTCCACATGTTGTTGCGGCCGGTGAAGACTTCAGTCTTTCACCTCAAAAATTCTGACCAGTCAGCATGGATGCTCCAAAGCTTGGCTGAAAGGGACATAGATAACAGGTGAGCTACAGCAGAAATGCCTGAGAACAGCTTGTTCCTAAATGCAATTCACATGATACCAGTTGATTAAAATGTTAACAATGAATTTGACTACAAGAATATGTACATCAATCTAACCTCTAATTCATGTAAACTGTAGGATATTCACAAAAATCATTTACATTTCAAGGAAATTGTTATCTGGATTGTTGATTAAAAGAATTAATACCAAATATCTTGTCAGTATTTTGTTTTGGATTTTAAAAAAACCAAACAACTTATATGAACATTTTTCAACTGCCACAAAATGTTTTCTATCTACAAATTACCTATTGAATGGAAGCAGTATAGTCACTGGGATCAAGCAAGGGAGACTACTCTAACACACATCCTACTTCAGGGACAGACAACCCATACTCAAAAGTCTCGTGAACATGTAACCCAAAAAAGAATGACTATTTTTGTGGATATTTATTGTGAAACACTTTGCTCAGTCTTCACTACAACATAATATCCTCCAAATATTCAAGCTCAGTATATTAAGCATATCACTGAAACTTAGTTCAATAATTCATGAACACTTAATTTACACACAATAGCTTATCACATTTAGCTGTCAATCCAAATTTATATATTTTGTAAGCCCAAACTAGTTGATATCAACCTCTGTTATTTTGTCATCTGTCCCATGATAGGATGTGTGTATATACCATGACATGCAGGGGAGATAATCATAAAATTAAGGGAGATAACCCAGGTGTGCTAGTGTTTGTTTAGAATTGGCAAGTTCTGTTTACTCTACACTATAGCGCAAAACTCATAACTTCGTTGAAGCGAGAAAGTATGGTTTCACACTGCTCGGAACAGTATTTCAGTCGCATCACAGCGTATATAGAAAAAATAATTAAGGCAAGCTGATATTTGAAGCCCAAATCTTAGGTCTGTGGAATGCCAGGGGATAAACCTCAACACCATTCATTGCAGTGCCTCATGCACTCTTACTTGATTTCATGTACAGGTTAAAGTCCAACAAATGCATGCAAGTTGGTTCTGACTACTCTAGTAGTGACTGGTTGCTAGGCTACAGGATGAGATCATCCTGGCATATAGTACCTGGTAGGAGCGACACCTCAATGGTAGCCATTTTGGAAGCTTGCCGCAATCAGAGGCCCCTGGGGACAACAACAGTTGGTACATACAGTAAACGTACAGTAAAGGTACAGTAAACGTACAGTGAACCACAGACACACAGACATTTGACACCCAACACACCAGCAGCTAACACATAGTGCTGAGTCTGTGCACAGATCTAACCCCTCAACATGTATTGCTAGGTTGTATAAAATTGGACAATTATCACAATACATTTCTGAGGTAAGGACAGGTGTATTTGGAAATTCGCATTTATCAAAAGTTCATCGACTCATTTTTAAGTCAGTATAAAAAAGAGAGAATAAAGAGCAAGTTCATGTTTAGAAGCCGAAAATTTGGGTTATGATTTGGCCACATGAAAATACTGATTCAATTCCGTTCAATTTTCAACCGAAACATTTCATAGTTCATACTTTTTACAATCTGAAAAGGGACCTGACATGAAGAGATTCTGTGTCAACCATTTGTTCCGTCATGCCCCAAGAAACAGCATCAGTACCAGAGGGAGACAGTGCCCCCTGTGCTCCTGATACTAGTGCAAGACTCTAGACAGTGCCCCCTGTGCTCCTGATACTAGTGCAAGACTCTAGACAGTGCCCCCTGTGCTCCTGATACTAGTGCCAAGACTCTAGACAGTGCCCCCTGTGCTCCTGATACTAGTGCCAAGACTCTAGACAGTGCCCCCTGTGCTCCTGATACTAGTGCCAAGACTCTAGACAGTGCCCCCTGTGCTCCTGATACTAGTGCCAAGACTCTAGACAGTGCCCCCTGTGCTCCTGATACTAGTGCAAGACTCTAGACAATGCCCCTGTGCTCCTGATACTAGTGCCAAGACTCAAGACTCTAGACAATGCCCCTGTGCTCCTGATACTAGTGCCAAGACTCTAGACAGTGCCCCTGTGCTCCTGATACTAGTGCCAAGACTCTAGACAGTGCCCCTGTGCTCCTGATACTAGTGCCAAGACTCTAGACAGTGCCCCTGTGCTCCTGATACTAGTGCCAAGACTCTAGACAGTGCCCCCTGTGCTCCTGATACTAGTGCCAAGACTCTAGACAGTGCCCCTGTGCTCCTGATACTAGTGCCAAGACTCTAGACAGTGCCCCTGTGCTCCTGATACTAGTGCCAAGACTCTAGACAGTGCCCCCTGTGCTCCTGATACTAGTGCCAAGACTCTAGACAGTGCCCCTGTGCTCCTGATACTAGTGCCAAGACTCTAGACAGTGCCCCTGTGCTCCTGATACTAGTGCCAAGACTCTAGACAGTGCCCCCTGTGCTCCTGATACTAGTGCCAAGACTCTAGACAGTGCCCCCTGTGCTCCTGATACTAGTGCCAAGACTCTAGACAGTGCCCCCTGTGCTCCTGATACTAGTGCCAAGACTCTAGACAGTGCCCCTGTGCTCCTGATACTAGTGCCAAGACTCTAGACAGTGCCCCCTGTGCTCCTGATACTAGTGCCAAGACTCTAGACAGTGCCCCCTGTGCTCCTGATACTAGTGCCAAGACTCTAGACAGTGCCCCCTGTGCTCCTGATACTAGTGCCAAGACTCTAGACAGTGCCCCCTGTGCTCCTGATACTAGTGCCAAGACAGTGCCCCCTGTGCTCTTGATACTAGTACCAAGACTCTAGACAATGCCCCCTGTGCTCCTGATACTAGTGCCAAGACTCAAGTGACGCTCTTGGACTAAACAAAAGAATACGAGTGATCTGCTTCTGGTGTATTGGGTGTTTCAGTACATCTCATCAACTCCGAACTGAAGTGTTCTCGAAACACTGTCGGACAATGTAATATTTATCCCCACATCATGTTTCTGAACACTCCACACCACCACCATTCAAATCACACTGGCTGAGATTGGTGAAAGCACAATGGAAAAATCAAATAATGGTGCAGGGAATTTATTAAACTATGTTATAGAAGATCTGTAAATCCATGGCTCCCAGTTAGCAGCCTGACTTGAGGAATGAGACTCAGATTCACGAAGTTACAAAAATGTACACAAAAATAACATTATCACAGAAAAATGGCTTTGTCAGAATTCTCAAACCCATGTCTGCTTTTGTTAATAAGCAAGTGAAGCTGCACATCCATGTAATGACTTACCCGACTGACGGCAATGTTGTGCCCAAAAGCCGAGGGTTGAGGGCTAGTGGCCTGAACATAGCTCAGGGCCTCCTGTCCGGAGGTGTACAGATCTATAGGTCCAGGGCTGTTAGCCGGGGGAAACGAGCGACTGCTTGGCGAAGTGGCTGTTGGGAACGCCTGGGCGCCAAAGTTGTTGATCATAGCAGCTGTCGCAGCTGCTGCTGAAACAAATAACAAAATAGCAAACATCGTCTCCCTCCCAAAATATTCTAGGCCATGTGACACCTGGAACAGGAAGTTCGGCCAATCGCTGGTCTGCAGACTGCGTCAACACTGGTTGTGTCCGATCTCGAGTTGATCAACATCTCCTACACGAGGAAAGTCCGGCACAGCAATGTCAAGGTCGGACAGTTTTCACTATTTCATTGGGGATGATGTACTCGTAACAAGTATACATTAGCTGTAACAATATTTATAAAAATGTGTTGAATAACCAGACATGTTTTCTGTAGGATCGGTCCAAGCTGCCCATGTCTGCTTCTGTGATGCTAAGTGTTTAAGTGAGTGAGTGAAGCCTGGTCACTATATTGCGTTAACATCTACAAAGAAGTCCACAACAGATTTGTTGTGTCTCTACGCTTACATCCATATTTCGTTGGAAGGACTGTGGAACTAATGAGCGCATGTCCTATAACATTCAGAGTGTGTAATAATCTCTGTAAGACGATCTCCAGGTCATTCCGTGTGTGTTCTCCGTCTGTAGAACAATCTTGTCTGCATGTTCGTGTCTACTCGGGGATCAGCACAGACACAACTACGGATACACAGATCTTCATACACATCTGCCTATCACATGTTAATTTTAGAAGCATCATCTTACACTATCTCAATTAACTTCAATTTTGACTGGAACAAAAGAGAGCAAAAATAGGCTTTAAAGAGTCAAAAATCCAAATTGTGTTCAAACTTTATCACAAATTCGCATAATTTTCAGCAATGGATATTAGTTTATTCAGCATCTCCAGAATATGACTTTAACACTTCATGACAACCTTGAGGTACAAGAATACTGAAAAGGCTGACACAGCTAGCCAATATTACCCCCATCCAAAAGTATGAAACAGACCAAGGGACTAGTGTTGTTGTGTATGTGCTGTCCGCTATGTAAAACCAGAAGGATGTACACGCTCCACCTTCAACATTCTTGTGATTCAATTTTGAGTCATCGTCGGCCAAAATCTCCCAAAACTGTTGGAATGAAACACAATGATGAATATTGAAGACAGACAAGTACGTCTTCATCCAGATGACGATGAGATTGGCATGGTACCTCCTACTTGTATAAGCTGCAGAGCTAACCACAGAGATATAGGAGACCTACTTCCTTCTTCCGAGTGATTTCTACATCTAGTGTTTCTGGCTACAGAAGGACAAGGAGCAGACAGACCGTACAGTAAACATAGCATGCATGCAAACAAGCTGGGAGCAAAACACTCAACATGGCAACAGGCATATTGTTATCCCCAGGGATAGTATTTTTAAAAAAGCAAACAATTTTCACATAATTTTGAATAGTTCATCTGAACAAACATGTATATCACTATGACCGAACCCGCGAAAAAAATATTATTCCAAACCTTGAAATGTCATTTAAAATATGCAAATTTATTAAAATATGCAAAATTTTAAAATACATCATAAGTTTCTGTTTCCCCAGCAACTGCATTATCTAGACAAAAGGGTAATACTTACTGATGTCAACACCATTGTTTAAATTCACATTTAGTCACGTAAGGACCATGCTGACACCAGAAGGTACTCGCTAACATATATGCGCAAATGATCATGACGACTACCACAAGTATTGAAACACGAATTCATCTGTAACAAAAAATCTTTTTGGCAAGTTCCACAAGTTTCATATCAACTTATTCATGATTTCTTTTTCAAATTTACTTCACTACGGATGAGATTATTACAAAAGACAAGCATGTTAAGATGAGCGACTAGCTGTCAAGGACAATATGGCTGGAAGTACCCACCTATTCCAGAACTACGATGCAGGGAACCTGGGTCACGGTGGATGGGCGAGCTCGATATAGGAATGGGCGAAGGCTCACTCCGTTGGATGCCAGCCGCAGTCAGCTGACTGGGAGGGCCAGCACCAAAGTCAGCGTAAATGGCCGGGGAGGTGGTTCGTTCACCAGGGGTGGCGGGGACAGGCAAGTAGCCATAACCAGGGAAGCCTAGCAGGACAACAAGAAAATACTTCAATTTGATTGGTCCAAAAATGGCTTCAGTTATTTCAAACAAACAAAAATCTTTCTTTTTGTCGAAGAAAGACCTTTAAGATTTTTAAAGACATTTCATCAGTTTCAAAGAATGAAAAGTCCTTCTTGTATACTGAAGAAAGACCTTACATTGGAATCAAGTTTTTGATTTTTGATTTAACATATTGGCTTCCCTGGGCTGGTCCAGCAGTCTAGACAAAATCACAGCACACTAATTCTACATCTACACAACTACAGCCAATCAGATGAGGCCTTGCATGCATCAGGTGGCTACAACCAATCGCATCCACCCATGCATGCATGAAAGTTTGACCATGCAGGTCAAACTAAAAATGGCGACATCATCATAGCTTTGTGATGAGAGTAGGCATATTATTCTAGTGAGAAATTTTGAGATTTGAACAAGGATCATGATACCTAGTAGAATACATGGTAGCATAATATTGGCTTGAAAATGAGCCGGATTTTTTAGCAGACGACATCATGCAGACAGTCGTCAGTTCTCTATGCTACTACAAGCAGGCAGTGAGGTGTGCGTGACAATACCAGACATGCAGGGGACGCAACTCCAGGGAAACCACGACTGGCAGACCACCAAAATTGGATTTATTTCACAATTACCCAGTTACAAGAGCCATTGGTTTTTAATGGCAAAAGCACATGGGAAGGTGTTAAACATTGAACACATCTTGTTAAATTACAAATCAGTATTTACAAAATCAACACAATATTGATAATAACAATGTACAATGTGATCCTGAGCTCATAAATAACATGAGATAAAAGCTCGTACAAACACCTCAAAAACAGTAACTTGACAAAATTTGCAGCCAAATTTTGTCAAATTTGAAAGCTATCATTTTGAAAACAATATAAATGGTATGCAAGAAGTGTGCAAGAAAGTTAAAACTACTATACAACGGTATTTAATGACACCACCATGTACCATGGCACCCGGTTAATGAGAAGCTGTAAGACTATTGGCTAGCTAGGCGGGTGATACACACATATATGGCACATCACACAAGTGTTCAGTATTCAAACATAGGGAACGCATTAATATCACCACCATATGATCACACCAAGGCAAAATAGAATGATAATCTTCTAGGGGCAGTTCTGTGACATGAAAAAAAGACTCCTACTTTCATGAAACACGTCCCAGAACCAGGCATGCTTCTTCATGGCCGAGACAATTCGAACAGGTCAAGTTCAAGGTTTAGTTATAGGGGTCAAGTTCAAGGTCAGTTTCAGGGTTCAGGAACTGTTACTGAAGATGCCAAAACCATTCACAGGAACATTAAGAAAATTCCTTGAAAAAAATAATGGGGGAATTTAAATGGGGTGATAAAAGACACACTGTAATGTGCAACAAATAAATTTGTGCAAGATCAGACTCTGGCCAAGACAAAAGCAAATCAACTGGTTTAAAACAGTAAAGCTTAAAACATAACGTGCAATGCAAACACATCTTCCCATGAGGGCATGTTAGTCAGGTCTGGCACAGAAGACCGGCCAATCACAACACCTCTTACAAACCACTAAGGCAAAACTGCAACCAGCTAGAGTGAGACTGAGAAGGTAAGACTGCAGAGGCGGCTTACCCGGTGATCTACCGGTAATTGCACCAAGATATGAGTCGGGGGAGACACAAGCAGTCACTGAACTACGGGATGTAGGCGCACTACGTGCCACGCCCGCTGGACCAAGACTGAGGGCAGCGGCAGCAGCAGCTGTAGTGTTCAATCCTGCATGTGACAAATAAACACGTGTAACTAATAAATGGCTGTTAATCACCTCAAAAATCGCCTTGCAAACAAACAAACAGCCTCAATAGAAACAACTCATGCAAACACTACTCGTCACTCTAAGAAGGAGGGCATGGGCTGTGGACTGATTCGAGTTGGCATTATGCAACAGGAGGTACAATGAAGGGAGGTAATCCATTGTTGACCAAGGTCGGACACAGAAATCACAAGGTCAAGATATAGTGCCAATGAAACTCTTTATTCAAAAATTCATTCAATCCATCACAGCTGATGAATGGTGATGTGAAGAATGTAGCATGGTCTATAGGGACTTCTCTACTCTGGTAGTAACCTCATCGAATGACCAGCCGACAAGGTCAAGGTCGGCAGATGGCAACCTCCCTCGCTCGCTCACTTGCGTACGTATGTTCAGTCACACGAATACCCACAATGTTTGTATGTCTAGGCTTCTGAGATGGGCTAGACATTAGCACTTACATGATCTTGGCACAGAAAGTCATATAATCCAGAACAGAGCACCATGCGACTGGTAGACTACCAATGGCAGACATCTTCAAGAAGAAGCCATGAGCCAGGGATACAGTTGGCGCTTTTGTCTTTCCACTTAGATATAGGACATGGATATTATGTAACTATTCTGCAGAAAAGTCAGACATTCTTTCGGGAAGAAAACGGCAAAGGGCGTAGGTCATCCCAGCTGCAATATTATGCTGAATTTGTGCTGCCATCAAAAAAGCATTTTCCACATTAGATTATTGAAACAAGGGAGATAACTGCTACAGAACAAACAGACAGGAAGAGCTAAAGCCTGTCTACCAATCCCATGGTGCATCTGGTGTACAGCATAATTCTCCATATTCAAACACAACAAGTACAACAACAGTTGTGGATACTCCACATATATTTACAATAAAAGATTAATTTCTTAAGACTTAAAGATCTCAGTTTAAAACTTTTGCCATGTTAAAATAACTTACATTCAAAAATAGGGTAAATTAGGCTGCCGGAATCAGATACGTCATAAATGTAACCCTGATCGCGTTGTTCCGGCAGATGGAGGTAAGGGAAAAACAGAACACAATAGTTAATAATGAATACTGAGTGAGGATGACCGCCTAAACATCTACGTCTAGCTACACCCGTCGAAGCCACACACCTAACCAGAGAGCTGCCATGCAAAAGTCACAAGGTAATTTCAGGCTAGCATCTCGACAAATAAACACGCAAAGATTTGCCATTTTCGACAGACCGCTGTTCACGATCGTGATGGTGTAATGGGTTCTGGTTATGCAGCTAGTTAAGCCTAGGTTATAGTGGTAGCGACGTTTCGACCTATTGGAAGCTGTGCAATACACAACACTACATTTTTACTACAATCCAACTGATGGCCACTACATCCTTAAACCCCCTCCAGATCAAACAGACTTGCCCTTTGTGGTGTCACTAGCAATGGTAAACCAAGACTGAGTGGACTCAGGGTCAGGTCTATTTAACTTTGCAGGGGTGAGAGGATACTTAGTAACAATATCTACACAATTATGAGGAATATTATTGCATACATTAAAACTGCCGATTTGGCACAGAGTGAGTGATACCTAGACTTGAATATAGGACTACGATACATAACAATAAAATGGTAACACATATCACCACGACTATCACTGTTCGATTCTGCATGGCCTGCCTTGAAATGTGTTCAAGGGAGGTAATTATTGCTTCATATTGGTAAACATACTGGGTTTATTAAGCAGTGGCACGAATACATAAATGATCGTAAGTACCGATGACTTGACAAATTTAATTATTTGTGAAAACCACAGGAAAAATATAGTACCCTGAAAATATTCTTTGTCACAAATGTCCTTTGGATGACTTCGTCTTAACATTCACAATGAGGATGAGCCTGTATGTAGCATAGTAGATGTAACCAGAGACTACTTGGAGGAAAACTAATTGTGGTTAAAATATGTGTATCAAAAATAGCAAATTGTAGTAAAACCACAGGACATGGGTTTCAGAATTCCATATCACTTATCAATGAACAGGTATTTAATGTTTTGAGAATTTTTGTTGATTGCTCATCTAGTGTGTCACACCCAGTGGATGAAGGGACATCAAGCTCCAATATTGGCTCCATCGCTGGCTCCAATACCAGTTCAAATGCTGGCTCCTTGAGTAGGACAATCAGAGGAATGCCATGTATCCAACTGCTCGGGTTGGAGATAACAGTATTTTTCCTACTTCAAAATGTCTAATTTTAAATCTAGTCATCGTACAAATGGATGATAATTTGGAATAGTCATGAACTCGAACTAACTTGCTAACATCCGATTGGCCAATATGTCTACATCCTAGGACCTATCCAGTAAACTGCCTACTCTCCGAGAATCTACATGAAAGTGAGGCTGCCAATGACTGGGCGTATCAGGACAGTCGATTGGTGGGATGGACGTCCGGCACAGCCGGAACGTTGGAGACGGGTATGTGTGAAGGACACAATGTTGTAGGCACACCGTCTTCACAGAACACATACAATCCTATGTACATTAACAGAGTCATATAGTGCATGCAGTCTGGGCATCGGTAGCTACTGAACAAAGTCAGACTGACGAGGGTCACGTGACGTCCTTCAACGTACGAACCACTCATCAACCTGACTAAGAAAAAAAGAAAAGAATAGGCCAGTAACCTTTTCATCTATAATAAATAGATCTAAACAATATTCAGACGATCAAGAACCAAATCATCTACTTTTGACGAGGTTATCTGGTATTGTCATTGGAACACATAGAGACTCAGATTTAACGAGATTCAGTATTTTGGAGTCAAAAATCAAAGCCAAATTGACTACAGATCAAACACAACCAATTATAAACAGTCTTAGCCTTCAATGGCTACCGTAAAATGCCAAAATAATAAAAATATACAAAAGGTTCATTTACATCAAGACAGTAAAGAATAGGCGTTTGGCACAATATCTGACTCTTGTATCAGAGAGTGCAGGAAACACTGCCAGACCTTCAACACGCCATCAACCATACCCACAATGCATATCCACTTCCTGCTCTATATCGGCAGGATTTGCGCAGATGAGAATAAATGTAAAAATTAATAAATAGTATATTCAAAATTTGCAATATAAAGATATAAATTGCATAAATTAGCTTTTGCTTCAATATTGAAACAGTTTTGATCAACACGAATATAGTCTAGTATCACAGTTGGGAGAACCCTGAGGGACAGCGTTGATAAAATGCCACGTTTTTATCACAAAGGCCTCTCCATCGTATCCCTTGATTACCGCTTGAGTATTTTAATTAGTCTGATCACAGCAAGCCATGGACAACAGAGAGAATTCAACCTTATTTGGCGTTGGGACAATCTTAAAGCAGCGCAAATTTTGGCAAAAGGGGTAGTATAATTAAACAGGGTTAGTCTGATGGAGCGTTGAAGGTCTCCCGAGGTCGTCTGGATTGGTCTGTGCTGACTGTTCGTTCGTTCATCGGGAACGAGATCCACGTTCAAAGGACGACCATTGACTCAACGTATGGACAACATCGCCGGGTCCATCTGGTTCCGTCTTCCTCTCATCCCGAGTTGATATGTCTAAAAATCGTCTTGCATAAAGAACAGTCGCACCTTCCACATATTGCTCTGTGCCGAGCAGCACGGCGGTCAGCCACAGGCCAACAACCCGCTGCCTTAACTAGGCCATATCTAGAATCCTAAATGAGACTCTGGGTACCACGACGCCAGTTGCAACAGCTCCATACCTGTTGTCATCCCGGGGTAGTAGTACCCCGCTGGGCTGAAGGCAGGGAACCCTCGGCCATAAGCAGCTGCTGCAGCAAACCCAGGGAAGCCAGTAGGAAGGTAACCTGCAGGGAGAGAGGAAACATGTCACTACACGCCGAAATGACACACGCGCTACACAACACGCACAAACATTTAGAACAGACATTACTTCAAATCCATATTTATGTTTTAAGTTTGAATCTTTGTGTTAACGGTTAATGGATAACTGACACGAATAATGGTTGATTAATATATCGTTTTGTTATTAATTACGCAACAAACCTGTGCAGTGTCAACCAGGACACTGCCAACACAGTAGCAACAGAAACATGCACTATATGCTTGTTCTTCAAGACTTGAGGAAGTTGGAAGGCTATTCTAGGAGGAGGTTAGACCAGTCACTACCTGTATCGTCATGCTTGTCTCGACGGCATTACATAAACAGGGTTGTTATTTCACAGGCCTGACCACAGCTCTTGTGGCTACGTTCATGCAAGTTCCAAACTCAATGCTACATTCCGTAATATTTCCCTAACAACACACAATCAAACAAGGGGAATATCTACTATGGCTGCACATATTCTCATTACAATCATACCAATGCAGCAGTTAGAAGGTCTATGCACCATGCAAGTCAGTATCAAATTAAATTCATAACTGTATACAGACGATGGCATTATCCATTACTTGCAGATTAATAACAACACTTTGAAATGATGACAGTATCACAATCGAATGGTTTCTGGGACAAAGGGTTGGAGAGTTAAGATTAAGTATGTACACAGGCAGGGATCCGATAGGCAGTAGAGATTCAGGCACAGATTGTGACATATGCATTGTCCCGCAAGGCAATCGGCATGGCAACGTTAAGCAGTCAAAGTTGGAAACAGAACTGAAGAAATACATGCAGCTTGAGTCCCGAGTGGAGTCATGCAGGTCACCCTCGGTCCTACCTCTTCTCTCTACACTCGTAATTCTATACACACATGGTCTACAGATGGTCAAGGAAGTATAGTTATTAAATGAAAAAAAAAACATACAAAAAAAATATAATCAAGCAACACGCTAACTCGACTTTACCAACTGAAATAATATTGGCTGTTGGTTGTTTGTAATGATCTCCTTCAAAAGTTTCTCATGTTTCAGAAGTGAGATAGGTGTGGCGTTTCCATGGCAACGATTCACACGTGTGAAAAGCAGAAGCCGTGGACACCGAAACAATCATGCATAGCAAGACATAGAACATGCAGTTATCTCCCTTTCGACAATCTTCAAGTAAGTTACATTAAGCATGCTCCAATGGGATTCATGTAAGTAGTTAAAGAGCAGCATGCTCTAAGACCAATAGGTTTGAAATAACAATGGAATAACTAGTCATAAATGTTCTTCAAGAGAAATTTCTTTGTCAAAATATCATTAAATGAAAGGAAAAGTCTATGAAATGTTTCCTAATAAAGAAACTTGAATGGTAGACAGGAATTTAGGGTTTTACAATTGAAGAGTAGAAATGATTGATACTCTAAACATGAACTTGACAGAACAGTTATACAGTTAGAAGCAGGCATAAGCACAAAGCATTAGCAAAAGCATTGGCATACAAACATACAGAAATGGTTAGCGTGTGAAAATAGACGGTTAATCCGAGTGTCGACAGTGGAAAGTGGCATGCACAGGTTGACATATGGATAGGTAAGCAGAGAAGAAGCAAGCAGAACAGGGAGCAGCTTGGGAGCTTAGCAGGGTAGGGGTTGGTGGACGCTTGCTCGCTCTCGCTTGCTTGCTGGCTTGCTTGCTCGGCCAAAAGTGCAACTTACACAGCTCCGGCAGACCGACAACATCATTGGGAATTTCCCATACGACCTCTCCTTCTTCAGTCACTACAGAATCATTAGAAAAAAGGGAAACAGTCTTAATGGCAGTAGAGCACATAAGCACACTGGTTGTCAGGACAGGAATGTGTGGCCAAGATGAGCACAACAGGTTCATGGCCTAAGACTTGATAGTAGTGCACAATATGACAGACAAATTCACTGGTCAACATACTCCACTGGAGGAGGTTGAATGGCTGGTAGGGCTGGATATCGGCCAATCACTACTGATGTACTTACGTACGTACAAACGGCTATTACATTCTGGCTACAAGGTTCGTGGTAAGAAAACAAGTCAGAAACTCAGAACAATGTCTGCTGTGAAATATGGTGTGTATAAGCGAAGTGGCTGGCATGTGTTTAGAAGAGGATGGACATTGTGCCCCTTGCACCTTTATTTGGCTCTTAGTGAGCGTGCCAGTAGTAGTAGGAACAAATCTACTTACAGAGAAAAAACGCCATGTCTAATACGTACGTAGGAGTACAAGAGAGTAGTCTCCCTTGTGTAAACCACCGCCACCAGTGTTACCATGACTACCATGCTAGAATTAACATATGGCTCTTCTAAACAACAATTTCCCGGTGATGAAGACTACACAAAATCACGTTGCTAACTTTAGTCTAGGAAAAAACTTCTATGGCTATGTTTCATCTAAGTAGCATGCAAAACTGGTTGCCATGGAAACAGAGGCCAAAGGTCACTGGTACAAGGGGATGATGTCCAGAGGTGCAGACAACAACAGCGGTACCTACCATAAGCTCCCCGAGCCAGGCCACGCCCCCTTGCCAGTTGTGTTGGCAACATAACCTCTTTAGGTTGGGCCTTTTTACACTCAACCTGAAAGAAAATCAACAAAAATTGCCATCAAATTATGCCACAAACAGCAATTTACAAAATTAGAATCGTACAAAAAGATTACACTGACAAAAAATCTTCGGAATTAACATGAAAGTGACGGGCCCTTGCCATAATCCTAATGCTAAAAGCAAAATTCAGGTGGACAGTAAGCAAAGACTTAAAGAGTTGCATGACTCGAGCAAAAGCAAATTTGGACCACTCTTAAATAATCGTAGTATCCTTTAGTTCTTTTGAAATCATAAAAATAACAATTCATTAACCATTTTGACCTAGTCAATAAAATTATGAATAATTCAACACAACAATTCGCAACAACCAAGTTAACAAGAAGTCTGCTCATGGAAAATAAAGTCTTGACAAACAGGAGTTATCTCCCTTGCTCTACCAAACGCTTCAGTCAAATGATGACTCACCATTTTCTGGTTGATTTCATGGAAATGTATTTCACAAATTTTTTCTACTACATCCTCTTGTTCAAACGTGACGAACCCAAAACCTGAAAAGATAAAAGATCAAAATAAACAATCTATCATATCTTCTGTCATGTATATGTCTATATCCAATATCATCTCTTTAATAAACAGTTACTTTTTGATGTTCCTGATATTTTCGCAGGAGTAAACATTAAGAAAAATGTCACTGATTACATTTAATGCCAAGATGAGCATCAAGCAAATGACTTGACGCTGTTTTCAGAGTTTTGACAATAACGAGAAGTCTGTTCCTCGCTGAGATAACACAATGTGTTGTTTAGATCTACATGTCATAAATCTGAATACTCAACATATGGTACATGGCCTAGTAACTGATATACACCAACAGTACAACTGATGACATCATGGCTTGCTAACAAAATAAACAAGATGGCAATTCCAGAGTTGTCTGTGAGAAGTACATGGTAAATATATCAGGTTGTGTTCTTCCCATAGGACACATGGCATGGAAAACTGCAAGTTATACCATATGATGTGGATGAATACTGCATGTTATAACACCTGGTGGGGCTTAGTATGACATGTTATAACACCTGGTGGGGCTTAGTATGACATGTTATAACACCTGGAGCTTAGTATGGCTGAATATTGCAACTTGCATGGTATAATGCAAAAGAATGGAAGAGCATATTGAAACACATGTTATCAAACAGCATGCTGTTTGGTATGTTATCAAACAGCATACTGTTACTCATTGGTATGCTATCAAACAGCATACTGTTACTGTTACCCATTGGTATGTTATCAAACAGCATACTGTTACCCATTGGTATGTTATCAAACAGCATACTGTTACCCATTGGTATGTTATACAGCATACTGTTACACATTGGTATGTTATCAAACAGCATACTGTTACCCATTGGTATGTTATCAAACAGCATACTGTTACACATTGGTATGCTATCAAACAGCATACTGTTACTCATTGGTATGTTATCAAACAGCATACTGTTACACATTGGTATGTTATCAAACAGCATACTGTTACACATTGGTATGTTATCAAACAGCATACTGTTACACATTGGTATGTTATCAAACAGCATACTGTTACACATTGGTATGTTATCAAACAGCATACTGTTACACATTGGTATGTTATCAAACAGCATACTGTTACACATTGGTATGCTATCAAACAGCATACTGTTACACATTGGTATGCTATCAAACAGCATACTGTTACACATTGGTATGCTATCAAACAGCATACTGTTACACATTGGTATGCTATCAAACAGCATGCTGTTACTCATTGGTATGTTACATTGGTATGTATAGCATACTGTTACACATTGGTATGTTATCAAACAGCATACTGTTACACATTGGTATGCTATCAAACACCATGCTGTAACAGACAGTGTACTACAACACACTGGCATATTATCAAACACCATCTAGTTACAGAGGTCAGCATAATCTCAGACAGTATACTATAACACAGTAGTATATTGACAGACAACAGCATAGTAGAACCCAGGAGCATGTTTTAAGACAACGGGAACACATGAACTCTTTTTCAACAGCCAAACTACTTCGATAGTATTCTCATCATTGGGTGATAATCAACTCAACATTATCTCGTTGACTCAAGAAAGAGAAGAGTTGTTGTGATGATTATCTCAGAGCAGGAATGACGCTCTATTTTATCAGCAGCTATTGAAGAAGGTGATGGGGGGAGGGGGTGGTGAAGACGGAGCTGAAACACCCTCATCGATCAGAAGAAACAGCAAGTCCCATCAGCTGTCCTCTGCAGCAGCTTCATCCTCAACATGGACATCAGCCAGCACCGGCAGAAAACAGGCAATGCCAATACATAGATACAATCACACATTTCAACACACTTAAGCCGTACTCCATGATTGGATATGATTGGGTGCTTCTCTCAGGCACACACATGCCATTAAAAGCCCTGAACAAGATCCATACCAAGATGGTTTACCCTGGGGCATACAGGGACTGCGATGTTCCACCAGGAGCTGCTGTTGCCGCCACTGTAGCCACCGATGTGGCCAGACCACTATCAAGTTGTCATTTCCCAGCAGCCTTTGCTGTTTTACTACCCATGTGTTAAATAACGACCTCCACTATTTCCTCGACTCTCACTCATGCCGGCATAGACCATGCTCACGGTCTGTCATCATTGACTTTCTAATTGTGTCCACTGTGCTGGGATCTAACCAAGCAAAAAGTGGAAGCCGGTGTTGTTTGATATGCCTATTATCCTCCTTCGTGTAGGCGGTAGGCTCCTGTCAACCTGCCTTCAGATGGTGTACTGTATCCTCCGACAACATTAGCCATTCTCTTCAAGCCATTATTTGACATTTATGCTTCTTGTGCACAAGCGTCCCTAAAACATCACTCACAAAAGGAACATCTCATAGAATCGGTGTCATTTCTCAATCCTTTTTCCATGCAGGGAACATTGAAACATTTAAGAATGCAAGATCGTTTTCGATCATGAGCAAACTGAGTGGGTGAGAATATTCAATTTGTTTCAATTTAGACAGAACCACTGCCACATTAAATGACAACGCTCAAGGCAAGAGAAAATTTCTCCGCATTTCATTTGTACACTTTAAGGAGTCGTGTCATGCAATACGATCATCAATCCAAAGAGACGTCCTAGTCTGCAGCAATCTTGCTCTCAAACACTGGAAGGGTACACATTGTCTGGGTTGTCCATTACTTCCAATAAAAGGTTATTTTTGGTGGGTATCTGTTTCAAAATGTGCTAACTGGATGGAATTGACACAATAAATATGTTACTTGTGTACATGGCGGTTACTCACTGCATCATGATAATTTGGAAAGAACTGTGAATTCAGAATGAATTTTAAAACATCTGTACAACTATTGTGACAAATTAGCAATACATGTAGTGAAAATTAACCAATTTTGGAAGCAAGAATTTAGTTGTCCTTCAGTAACGAATTCAGATCTACTACCAGAACCATTCAGTTTTACAGCCCCTCCATGAAGGTTCACTTTTAAATCAGTCTGAAGCAACCATGGTTGTTACAAGAAGGGACTATTGGCATCAGGGGGTCAATCTACTTGGTTGGTACAAGTCGTCGCATCACAAATACAGTCGTTCAATGCTCATGACGTCACACTGGATTGTTCAACGTGATTACGTACACGCTGACGTAAAATAGAAGAAATATTGGTTGGTGAGGCGTTAAACAACAATACAACTGTAAGACAATTCACTGCTATCGTGACAATTCAGTGCTGATCGAAGCTATCATTGTACATAGCTTCAGTGATGATACCAAGAGCTGCCATTATAATGCGGCACTGTAAGTGAGAAGGAAGACACTCCTGCATCAATACTACGTAGACTTACAAAGGGACGGGGAGCCATTTCTATGCCAGGTTCCTCCATGTTAGCATGGGTGAAGGGATGCTGATCCAGCCTCCATATTGATCCCTACTGTCCCGAACAGTCTCATCGCGCTCAGTTCCGTTCACTGATTTCCAATTGCCTACTAACATGTCTACTTTCGGGCTTTATTGGCCCACAATACCATAAACTTATACGCATATCGACAGAACTGTTTGTCTCAAACATTTATTGACAGTCCGAGATCTATGCGTTGTCACCACAACTTTATTGTGACCAGTTGTCAGCACTCTGGCTTTAAGAAACGCTGACAGCTGGTAAATATAAAAGTAGATAAATCACTAGGCTTTACAATTTGAGCGTGTAACCGTAGCGACAGATATCGACTCTATACCTATGGCCTCCAACAATCGCGACAGCAAACGTGGAAATGTAAGTCAACCATAGGTCAATTAGAATTAGCCAGACTTTCAGTCATCTAATTAGGTTTTCCTTGTGAGATAAAAAAATCAGTTATTTCATTTCAACACATGTTAGCATTCAGTCGTCAATTGTGCTGGTGGTATAACCAGATGCATGTTATCAGTCCGAGTTAGGGACGTGGATCCCATGATTGACGAGATGCTCCGGAGCTGTGGCTGTATGGAGAACAGGAGCCGGCTCCCACATAAACATGCTTAGTTTCACCACATCGATCACAGACATCACCGATACACGCTCACTGTCAATGGACGGGCAATTTTTTCTCCTCCCTCATAGTTGTATTGATCTGTTACACAGTTTCCTGCTCAACCCTTGACAAAACATCCCATTCTCTGCCGTCCCAGTCAAGTGTAGATGGTTTTCAGTCCACATCATAAAATGATAATGTTGCAGATAATCACCCAAAATCACAAAAAGGCAAATAGACAATTTACAATTTCAACTGAAATGTTCCTTATCTAATCAAGCTGATATCTCTTATTGATATACACTATGGAAAATGCCAGCAAATCACCCCTGAAAACTTATAATAAAGGCATTTAACATAAATAGACTCTTATCCAAAAATGTCTTCGTATCAAACATGTCAACATAAATCAATAAAACTTTAAAACTGTTTGCCAACCCAGTTTTAATTTTTATTGAAGAATATTGATGTGCTTGATCTGAAAATACATGAGGTCAAGATTATATTTATCATCAACATCATTCTGCCAAACTTTCAATTCATAAACAGTAATAAGAAGTGTCTTGGAATGGAATGAATTAACCTACCAAGCTTTAGTGGCAGAAAGATTAGTGACGCCATTTGATTGTGACATCACAGTAACCCGTGACATCACATCAATGTGATACAGAGTTTCATTGTAGCGATATATTAAGAGACATCTCCTGTGGAGGCCAGTTTGATGATAAATTACATTATTACCCTGGTGAATAAAACTGTATCCCACTTAAACACTGATACAGACCGATACTCACTCAAACATTATGACCCCTGCACACCGGCTTTGTAAATAATATATGCTCACTCTCATTACAAGTGTGTATGTCAGGTATTCCCATGACAACAATCCAAAGGAGTTTAATTACACCACAGACCAACTCTATTAAACAAAGATCAATAAAAATCTCCTCCACCATGATAACAATTCATTGCCTGTAAAA